CCCCCCCATTCTAAATCAGGGTTTCTTGGCAGGCATCGCTAACGGTAGCTGCCACCGAGTATACGCACAAATGCAAGGAAGGTACGGTGTAATTATCTCGCTTCCTCTTCTCATTCCACAGCTAATGAGAACCAATTGAAGGCGGACTGCTTAAAGGCCAAAGCCCAAGTACACTCTGAAAAATAAGATGATGTCCTAGTTTAAGAAGCACAATAAAAACGGAATTAAGCATTCCAGACTTTGAACACTGGGCAAAATGCGATCAGACTGTACCTACTCCACGTCCCTGGCAGACACGGGAGTGGGACCCTGGTCGGGGGTTAGTGTGGGAAACGAGTTAAAAATCAGGGCAGTGAGCACGCAGAGTGCGGGGCAGGAAAGCACTGGAAGGCAAACGGGGGTTAAGGAGGGAGAGGTGTGGCGGTGCAAAATGAACACAGACGCCCGTTTCCACTCTTGTGACTGCGGGAAATTGTGTAAGTCCAAAGCCCAGAAGAGGACAAGGGCGCCATGTGATTCTCAATTTGGTGCACAGTAGTAGCTCAGGCAAACGAAATACAAAAGACTGGCCTCTTCCGCCCCTGGCCGGTGATGGACTCCAACCTGAACACCCAGCGCCCCTCAGGGAGTCAGCGGAGGATGCAAAGAACGTCACACTCATTTCTCCAACAGGAGTCAGTCTTACAGGTGGGCTTTCCTTTTCAGAAAATGCACAAACAGACCTTGCAGCCCACTCTGGCGCGTCTGCCTGATACTTTCTGGAAACTACGCAGCCCAAAGTTCACTACCCAACCAGATCCCTCCTGTGAGATTGCACCGAATGCAAGGCAACTTCCGACCTTTAATGGTAAAGACTAACGGTGGAAAGAAGAGGGGAGGGACGAGATCGTAAACTCTACTTTAAGAAACATTGTGTTAAAGCAAGATAAGAACGGTACCTTTGAGCTCGTCAAAACCTGGAGTTAAAAAAAAAAGGGGTTTTGCGAAAAGTGGCGCGAAGATAATATCATGTGATCCGACCCCAGGGCGTCTCCTTCCCCTTCTGCCAAAGTCCCCTCCCCCCCCCGAAAAAAGGAGGGTAGGGGAGTTACATCCGCTCCTCACAAGCTATTGGCATAATTAATTGTGTCCTGCAGTTGCAGTCAGAACTCACTGTCAATAAGTAAATACATCTTCATCCTCCTCATCATCAGAACAAAAAGACCCATTACCCTGATTTTGGAAAATGTTCCTACATAAATCGCATTGACATCAAAAGTCTTAATTTGGCATTTCGACTCTGTGTTTAAGAGTCAGAAAAGAGTTGGAAAAGATGAAATCCTATTAAAAGGGAACAAGCAGAAGTAGCTCCCCAAAGTGAAACATTTAAATAGAGGCTTTAAATGGAAATACCTTGTTGAGGGACTTCATTCACTAGCTTAAATTTTTCCAAAAGTTTTAAACAGTTCTTTAAACAAGACATCCTCCCAAAGTCTTCCTACTTAGCCCCCAACTCTCACCCCTCCTCCCACCTCTCCTTCCCTTTAAAGCCAGAACAATACCCGGAATAAGGTATTTTGAGATTGCTTTACCAGGATATTTTCTTGTTCTTAATTTTTTTTTTCCGAAGGCTTGCAACATATAGAATGTCTGGATCAAGTTCCAAACTGGTGAAAATAATTTATTCCATCTCAGTACCTGTCTAGCGCAAGGTAAAATTACGTACAGAATACAGGTTATTTAAAAACTAGGACATTTTGATACACGAAGTCATTTATTTTGCCTTTTTATTTTGGAAAAAAATGTAATCATCAGCCAAAGTACCTAGAGAATCAAAAAAAAGCTAAAGAACAAAGCGTTTCTCACACACACACACACACACACACACGCGCGCGCGCGCACACACACACACACACACACACACACACACCCCAAAAGTCAGAATAACTAAGAGCTCAAAGAAAAGCACGTGATCCCTTCATGCTTTAAAACTTGTGGTCATGCTGAGGCTAAAAGCTAAGAGCTTGTGACCCTGCAACCCCATCCCCTCCCCCAGACCATAGCCCAGGGTTTAAGGCTCCAGGCTCCCACCAGGCTCCTGCTTGCTCCCAGTATTGTGAGACAAACAATACTTAGGCATTCTGCAAAATAAAGGACCCACAGCCTCTAGCTCCAGTCATGTCATTTATGTCCAGATTGGCCTGTGTGTATATATGATACGTGTGTGTATTTATATATATATATATAATCTAGAACTCATGCCTATATAGAAACCCAGTTGTTCTATTAGAATGTGTAAGAAAGGTATCTTAACTAGCCAAAGAGAGAGAGGGCTTATCTTTTCTGAGCCTAAGAATTCTCATCACAATTTAAACACCTTGCCACTATTTTGAATTTATGATGAACTGAAAAAAAAAACAAAACACAGATATCCTGTAAAGTATTCCCCCTTAAGTCGAGATACTATGAGCTTTTATCTGCCTGAAAAGGAGAGGAAGGCTCCTCTATATCGATCTCTAGATTTAATTGTGCCACATAAAGCAGCGATCTCAAGTAGTTTGGGTTTCAACACCTTTAAAAATATCAGTAATTGATATTTTACCCAGTTGAGAAATCATTTCACTTGAATTAGGAATAATATGAAGTGGCTCTGTTAAACCTAATGATTGGTATCTTAGAACAAAAAGGTCCCCATGGAAACCTGAAAGTAATTTAAGAGTATTTTGTCCCTCCAACAACTAGAATAGAGCTTTTGTTCTACGTGTATTTACTACTTTAATTTTTTGAACTACGCTTGCAGTTAAGGTCGCTTACACTCTAGTTTTGCCTGGAATCAGGAATTCAGTGTCCTAGTACAATATGTGTTTTGCTACATTTGTGTGGTTCTGTGTTCATGTATAAGTGTGCATGCCCATGAGGCCTAAAACAAAGATATATCAGAACACTCATTGAACAAAATGGAGTGGGGAGGAGGCTCCAAGGAGAAAATATTTCAGATGCTATTTTGCTATTTGAGTCTAGAGCAGGAACTGTGATTTCCTTAGAATCAGACAAAAACGGTCTTCACCAACATTTTTTGAAAATAAGTATTTATTTACTATCATTTCATATTTTTAAATGAATCAATCATGTTTTGAATGGCCAGAATATTAAGATAAATCAACCTGATAAAAAAAATTTGAATTTTTTTGTTACCCAGACTTAATTTGTTTATGAAAACTTACATTGGCAAAACAAAGGGAAAAAAATGTAGTTAATAACGAGTTTCTGTATGTTATTTCTATCAATAGTCCATACCAACATGTCATGTAAATAAAATAAAAAATACATCTTCAGCTAAATATTGTCTATGTGAATTAAATATCAATTTCAAAAGATTTACCTCTTGGTAAGAAGCAGAAATTTTCACTAATTGAACATGCACAGTTAATATAATTCGGTTTAAAAATGTAGAAAGTAAAAATATATTTATCCCAGTCACAAAAGGTTTTATGAAGATCAAATGGCAGGGAGAGGGGGATTGATTTTATGAAATGTGAATAAGTTTAAGATACGCATTTTGTTAAATTTCGTTTGTTAGTAAACTTTCCTTTTATAAACTGATCTTTGCAAATTTTGATTTTTAAAACAAATGTTACGTCATTTATAGATATTTCTTATCTATTAATGAGTTAATAGTTTGAATGACAAGAATAAATTAAAATAGAATGAAATTACATCTTACAGAATTTGGATGAAATATGTTGGTACTAGGGCTTACAACATGGAACAAAATTTGTTAATATGTGATGCTTTAAGACAACACTGTTTCGTGGATCTTTGCTTCTTTCAGTAGTATATTAAAACACAGTTTCCTTTCACTAACAGCTATATTTTTTACAGGTCAAATATTTTAAGTCCAAATACGTAAATATTGAAAAGATAGAAAAATAACTTGCCTTCCATTAGTAGAAAAATTATTTCGCAAATTAATTATTCTACCTTGAGAATAGACTCAGTAGACATTAAAGTGATTCACTGTTAAGATTAAATCGTGTTAAAGGTATTTTTACACTCCGTTTAAAACACTTTGATTTTCTTGTTTATGTGGCCTTAGAAGTGGAACTTCTGGTATTACAAACCATAAAATTGCTTGCAGACTGTAATACTATAATCAAAGAAAAAGCTATAAAATAGAAATGTTTTACACACATCGCTTTTTTTCAGTCACCTTTCTGATAGAATTTGTTCATCTTTGCACCATTATAAATTTTCTAAGTAAAAAATTGTCATGGTATTGAACACGATGAAATATAAAGTTTTATTTTCAGAACACAATCTCCAAAATCTTATCACCATAACATTTTCTTCCAAAGCCAGCAAGTCATGATGTTAAAGATTATCCAGTTATATAATTATTTTACACTAGTAAGTTTATTTGAAAATGTCATGATTAAGAGGTAAAAACTCTAGACCACAGTTCTCATTTAACATTAGAAAAATTTAAATCAGTGTTTTCTGTGCTATAACCGAAACAAAGCATGATAAGAGTCTACTGCTTATGTAGAAAGAGAGCACAGTAGTATTTTTTAGAGCTTCTCTCTTTTTTCTCCGCAAAGTTAGCATTTATCCTCAGGTTGGTAGTTCTCTGCTAAACTTAGAGACTCATGTTAACTGTCTCCTGACTTGTGATTGCTGAAGGAAGTAAAACTATTGTCTGGCCTTTTTCATGCTTAGGAGGAAGGCACAGTGAAATGTGTTGAATTATCCAGATGCCTGAAAGGACTGCAGTGAAGTCTTGGAACAACCTAAATAACAGAGCTAACACTCACTGTAAAAGGGAATCTTTCAACAGATACAGCCTACAGAGGACATCAACTTTAAAAGTGAAAGAGATTTCATTTTCTCAAAACAAATGTAATCTAGCTTACTTTTGAAATTTTTAGGTGGATGTCTAAGTCAACAGGAAGACTAGTGATTTAAAAATCAAACATGGA